GTTATGCCATTGTACACTGTTCTAAATTTATGGAAGTTCTGTCATCATTATTTATTACTTACTTGAATAAAGAAATAGCATGTATAAAGTTAAATGCACAGCGCACTATAAGTCAAGACGATAGACTTGACTATTTATACCAAAAAATTCATAATCAATTATTTAAGAGAGGTCATGAATATGGACGTATAACAGTAGACAACATAGATACAGAAATGAAAAATTTTCCTCTCTGTATGCAGCATTTGCATAGAAAATTACGGAATACCCATAGATTAGGACATTATGCTCGTTTACATTATAGCCTTTTTCTAAAAGATGGAGGAATGCACATAGAAGATGCTATAAATTATTGGAAAGATGAATATTCGAAACCTCATTCGTGTTCATCTACTTGTTCACATCAATGGCAATCAAATGAACGCAAATTTATATATAGTATTCGACACCTTTATGGTTTAGAAGGGTCCAGAAAAAATTACAAATCAGTTGATTGTGAATTCCTATGTGTAAGTAACACATATTGTACTCTCATGAATAATTTATAGATGTTGATTGTTTCTTGTTTAATCATATTATAGGCAGCTGTTTCTGGTCCAACATATGAAGGGGGATGTCCATTCAAGAATTTTGATATAAATGTGTTAAAGGACCTACTATCTCTATCACTGTCAGGTAATCAAATTACTGAACTATTAAATATTATATCTCCTCAAGCTCCTCGTTGTGCTTGTACATCCTTCTTTAAGATAGTTGGCCAAATAAATAATAGTGACATTTTCATTAATAGTCCATTGCAATATTATTTAGCAATGGTTAATAAAATTTAAATACAAATTATTTAATGTCATTAACGTTACTTAAATGTAAGTGCGCTATTAATAGAAGAATTGTCATTGTGTACTTTCTGATGTTAACAACCATATAACCATACATTAGGTGTATGCTGCATGTATTAATAGTAAATAACTCAAAATAAATTTCATTAGCTACATAAAGCTAAAAATGTAAAGCATTAAAAATTTTTCAATGCATTTTCTACAACCGCGTGTGTTATACCACTTCCAACAAATATGCATGTAACACCAAGTTTGCCTACATCAACAATATTTCTGTGTTCGTCATCAAAGAATATCATATCCTTATAGTCCGTACCAGATGCTTCCTGAATTCTACAAAGAAACAATTTATTCTAGATAATCGTTAAAAATAAATAAATAAAGACAATTATGTAAATCAAAATTAATAACTATTATTTATATATACGTTAATAAGACGTACACAGAAAAATGTTTTATTTTACTTCCAGGATATATTTCTTTGTACTTAAAATACTTTTCCCAGTTGAATAACTTTAATAATTGATTAGCTCCTGCAATTTCCGACGTACGAGAAGCAATACCAAGTTCATAACCCTCGTCCGATAACTTTTTCAAAACATCTGGTACTTCTTTGTAATAGTGTATCTTTTGCCCATGAACATCTACTATATCATTTCCCTTTCTGCAAATTATTAAAAAATGGCAAAATAATTTAATATTACTAAGTGATCATAATACTGGAAAACTTATTACTTTTTAAATGGAGCAGTAACATGAGTGTCAACCCAAAATGGCCATAGAGTATAATCTGAAAATTACATTTAACAGAATTACCATTTATTTATCACATAATTAAAAACCTTATCTACCTTATATTTATAAAATCGTCATGCAAATATTCTAACCTAAATCAAAAACTAATATTTTAGGTTTTCGATTCATATCACTCATTGTGTTTGTACAATTATATTTATTTGTTCACTGATCTATGTATGTATAACAGTTAGTCCAATTTATGTCAAAATATTATACTTATGTATATATAAGTGTGTGGCTGGAAGAATGACTATGTACATGCAGGGTGTCCTAAAATTACGGTACTTCCGGGAAATGTAGGATTTGTAGAGGTCATTTGAAGTAACTTTTTCCTTGATGAAAATGCAATCCGCGGCTTTGATTACGAGTTATTAACGAAAAACATCGTCCAATGAGAGGCGAGATCAATTAATCAGTCGAGTTAGCGAGTGGTCGAAGCCCAGTTCTGCTGACAGATTCAGCCATCTTGCATCAGATGAACTCGTCTCTCATTGGTAATTATTTTACGTTAATAACTCGTAAACGAAACGGCAGATCACATTTTCGTTAAGAAGAAAGTTACTTCGAATGATCTCAGGAATCCCTTATTTCCCAGAAGTACCATAATTTTGGGATATCCTGTATACCGAGTGCATCTAAAATATCTCGCTTATTTTTATGATAAAAAAATGTCAGAGGAAAACATAAGTTTGTTTCAGAGGGGAAAATATTATGATAGGTGAAAATTTTTTTCAAGATTATATTTTTTAAGATTTCAAGATCATTGAAGTTTTTTTAAATAGAATGATATATTTTTATTATCGCTATATAATAGCCGAGGTTAAGAGGAATGTAACTACCTACAATATTATGACCTTCACGTGACCTTGAGCAAGAAAAATTCATAAATTCCGCTGCGCGGAACTCCCTGCGCATGCGTCGCCTGGCATAGTTGATTTTCATGCCTACTCTGGTTAGGAGGTGTAATCTTCGACATCGACGTGTTGCGTGCATTTAATTCCGAGTGCTGATATAGCACAATGTGGCGAAGAAAACGAACGAAACAATCGGGACAAAGTGAAACAGACGAAACAAACAGATGTAAGAGCGTAGACTTAACCCTAAAGCATTAACTTAAGATTTTTCTGAAAAACACATGATTATTTGTAATTACTAATTAACATCTTGTTTAACTTTTCATTGCATATTTTTTAAATACTACATGCTTGTTATATTTATGCTGTATCATGATTTTTTAAAACGGTTATCTAGTATGATACAATTACATAATTATTTTATTATAAAAAATACATCTTAAATATTAAAATAATTTTCATTAATGATTTTAATTATTATTATTCTTGTATTTCCTTTCCTTATAAATCTTCTGAGCTACTGTCATCTGATTCCATATCAGATTCACTGTTTTGTATTTCCAATTCTAGATCTTCGATTGCGTCTTCTATTATTATATCTTTCATCCAATATTCATCTTCCATTGTTTCTACGTACATGCAAAATAATTCCCAATAATTTGGCGTTGTTTCATTTATTGCCTGGCGTATTAATGCTTCCAAGTCATTGTATGATAGCCCTGAAGTAACATTTTGTTGACACATTTTTCTCTTCCACTGTGCCCAAGCAAAATCTATCGGGTTGAAGTTACACATCCTATATGGTGGTAGTCTTGTGGGTGCGTGCTTGATTGATGCTGAGGTTCAGTAAATAGTTGTGCAGCGTTGTGGGGTGAACGTGGATTTTATTACCGTAGGCGAAGAGTGTGACGAGCCGATGGTAAGAGTCGCGATTCGGGATAGCGAGACGATGGAAGAGAAAAACTAAGAAGTACTGACTGACTGGTCTCGCTGTGTCTTGGCTTTGTTATTTATATTACGTCCCCCAAAAAGGCCACGCCTTTTTTTGGGAGACTCGCTGTCTTCTTTTACCCCCGTTTAGTTTGGCGGGGGAGACAGCCATCATTGAACCCTCGCTGTAGGGGCGTGCTGGCCGTTCGGCCAGGTAGCGGTACGCGGCCGGCGGCTTTCTCCGCGACCAGGCATGCAGTACATCTGGTAGTGATAAAAAATAAAGAGACAAAGGAATTTCCGGTTCTTGCAAACGTCAAGGACGTTTTCTCTCCGTCGAACCCTTGACATCTGCAAGCGGACAGTTTTATGGTTATTACGGTCGCCGACCGTGTGCAGCGAAAGTCTTAATACACTGTGACCATGTATTTTTAAAAGTTCATCAATTTTAAATGTCTTTTCCAATTTTTTGTGTCGCTCTATGAGTTCTGAAAGTTCATGCTTTCTCAATGACTCAACATATGGTATATTATTTTCCATTAACCATGCTATCATACTTTTCTTTGTAGCATATAATGATGGTGGTTTATTTATCATCCATTTTTCGAAATTATCCGCATTCATCTGACCTTAATAGTCACCTGTTGTTGAATTGTTTTTAAATATGAGATCTGCCCCATCCACAAATCCACTTTTTCCTCCTGCAAGGACTACTATTAAACGATTACAACCACTTGAATACTTTAAAATGCCTCTTTCTTTCTGCCAGCATTTCCCAAAACACAAACTAGTATCCACCCATGTTTCATCTAAATATATAATGTTCCTTCCTTGTGTTTTATAATAATTTAAACCTTCTAAGTATTTTATTCGCCAATTTACAATATTTGGTCTTTCAATCAAGATGTTCCTGTTGTTATTGTTTTTCTTGTATTTCTATCCCATACTTTTTAAAACTCTGTAAAGGATATGTTTCGTCCATGGAAAAGGTACTCTTTCCTGTATTGCAGTTAACAATGTGCGACCTGTTGGAATAATTTTTTTTTTCTACGTAAAATTCATGAATTATATCTTTTATTATTTTTTTATCCTCGTCAAAGTAATAAAATTTTTGTCGTGGGCGTTTTTTACCCGGCGATGATAATTTTTCTCCTGATATAATGCTTTCCCTTCAAATTCTGCAAATTGTTTCTTCCGAAACACCAACATAATCTGCTGCTCGCTCAGTGACTTGTCATAATAGATAAAGAAGTACACCCTTCTTTGCTTCTTCGTCACATTTATTAGCAATCCTTTTTATCATATTTTTTGCCTCGCAATGGATTGTTTGTCCATTTTTGCAGGTTTAATTTAACTATTATTACTACACGTTAACACAAAAATGTCGTCAAAATTGCAACTAATCACTAGAACTACACATATATATTAACTTAAATTGAACTAAACTAAACTAAGTTATAATATTATATTTAATACTCAAAAAATAAAATGTTAATACTATTATTATTTAATAAAAAATTCTTCATGTAAAAATGCTTGCTTAATGATGTTCACACATATTATGCCTTGTTCAGAAGAAGTTCGTTGAGAAAAGTGACCGATCCCCACTAACCCACCCATTGTTCCTAACGCCATTGCAGAAGTAGAATAAATGCATTTTCCTTATTGACAAAGATCCCTTCCTATTAGCCCTAATACCGTTAGCACGCAATAAAGCGATGTCGAGGGCTACGCTACCTAATTACCCCCTGGTCACCCAAATGCTACTTGCAATAAGAATGGTTTCTGCAGGACTACAAACGTGCATGGCAGGCGGAGCGGAAACTTGTAGTTTATGGTGTACCAGGTATGCACGCATGCGCGCTCGATGTTCTTTCGAAACATTAAGTGATACCTAAGGTTCCGTAGCACGCTTCATTAGCGAGAATAGGAGTAGAAATTGCTTTACTCTAATTGGCCGATGATTCAATGCTAAGACAGGATTCACAGAATTGGATTCACTTCTGAATTGGATGCACAGTAAAACGATAGGGATATAAACGCTTCCTTAGAGAGGAAGAAAACAGTGCAGGGCTTGAGGTATTATTGTTTGTATTGTACATACACATCGGTTGTTTCTCTCTTGTTGTTGCCAGTGTGACGTCTGATTGGAGTGTAGTATGAATTATTAAAAGCTATTCTATCAATATTTTCTTTGATGGCTTTTTATGCGGTCTAATTAAAAGTGTGCAAGTTCTTATATAAAAATGTATACAAAATTAAAATAGTGTTTTTATAAGGTCATATCTCTTATATGAAAAAAAGGTGTGTTCAACTAAACTTCGATTTTCCCGCGCATTCGATGACAGCGATTTTGCGCATTGTTGGCATGCTGTGTACAGTAATAGGACCTTAACACTAGATTGTCCAAGGAAGTCATTTTGACTGATTTTTAATTTCAATTAGAAAAAAAAAATTATGTATATAGTGATACAATTTCCTAGAATTTTGTGACTTTTTGTACAACATATAAATGCGTTTATTAATAATTGTAGTTACCTCCCCCCCTCCTTCATTTCCGGTATATATATATTCTAGTGTTAATGGCACGCTTTTCTTACTCCCTAAACTGGCGCGCACATCCCCATCATTTTACTGCACATCGAATCTGTAGTGGATCCTGTCTCAGCAGTGAATCGTCACCCAATCAGAGCAAAGAAAATTTCTATATTGACTATCGCTTACAGATCAAGCTGCGGCCTGGAGGTATACAGGAGTAGGACCCATTACTGTACTAATACCAGATAATGATGCTAGTTGCACATGACATGCAACGAAGTAGTTTATGACGAGACACTGTTCATCTTATGATCTTGTGGATCGGTGGCGTCAGTCTCGTTTGTCGAGTTTGTAGAGCTTTTTGGAGTGCCGATTGAATATAGTTATTCAATTTATTATAAAATTATTATTTAAAATAATATAAGTGTTTGAAGGTATACAGGTACGTTACGCTTTTTTGATTAACTATAAACGATAATTACTAAAATTCTGTGTAGGCCATATTAGCCATCGACATATAAACTCGTATATTGCACGTTATGAGCGTTATATTTACTAAAACACTATTTTACTAGAGCTACGCTTTCATTAGATGTATATTTATAGAATTTTTTGTCTTTCCATTTATAACTATATTTCTCTTATTTATAGTAACTTTGTTAACTATTTCTATATTTTATTTATAATATTATATATTTGTGTTAATTATAATTTTCTGTATTGTAAAAAGATGTAAATGTTTAAACTACAAATCTTTCTGCAATATTATATTTCGTTTAAATAATTTACAAAAACGAATACTAATAAAAATTATTTACTTCAAATATTTTATTCAATCAATTATAAATTAAAATTTTATATAATGTAGAGGTATATCTAATATAATAAATATTCTATATTTTTGTATATCATAAATGCATAAAATCTATAGTGTATTAAAAAAATTTATTTAGCAACAAGGATTATATTATTTCATATTTTATTACAGAAATGTCTGAATCAGATCTCTTAGCTGCGGATCATATTGATGGTCTGGACGGACTAGAAAATGGTCAAGATGGAGATGCTATTATGCAGTGCGATGGTGTGAAGCGTGAATTAAATGAGGCCAACATTGACGACCCGGTATCTGATTTTTTCAATTTGAAACAAATGTATAATGTTATATGAATCCTATATTACTAATTTATTTTTAATTCTTTAGGAATTGGAGGCCATTAAAGCACGTGTCAGGGAAATGGAAGAAGAAGCAGAAAAATTAAAGCAATTGCAATCAGAAGTGGACAAACAAATGAACATGGGTAGTCCACCTGGTATAAGTGAGTTATAAAGCTCTTTAATTTTCATACATATTCTCTTATTAAGTATTGGTATTGGTATTAAGTATTGATTTTCTACTTCTTTAGCAAGTCCATTAAATATGTCTCTGGAAGATAAAAAAGAAGTCGATAATAGATCCATTTATGTTGGTAATGTAAGTTACTATTTTATCAAATTTTATTATATTTTCATTATATTTCAAATTTAATATTACTGAAATATTATTTATATATTGTTTAAGGTTGACTATGGCGCTACAGCAGAAGAATTAGAGCAACATTTTCATGGTTGTGGTAGCGTCAATAGAGTAACTATACTGTGCAATAAATTTGACGGGCATCCTAAGGGATTTGCTTATATTGAATTCGCAGAACGTGATGCTATACAAACAGCTATGGCACTTGATGAATCTATGTTTAGAGGAAGACAAATTAAAGTAATGCCTAAAAGAACAAATAGACCAGGATTCTCTGTGACTAACAGGTACTTAAACAAGGCAGAACAAATTACACTTGTGTGAATAATGTCTGAAAAACTATTACATCTTTAACAATTCCGAATTGATTCCTTTATGCATAGAACAGAAATAGCATATCAACAATTACTATTTTTAGGGGACCACGGGGAACGCGAGGCTACCGAGGTATGGCTAGGGGTATCGTACGTGGCAGTGCATACTTTGGATATAGACCCACAAGGCGACCGAGGTATGTTTTAAATTTAATGTTTGTTTCGTTCAAATAATTTAAGTACACCTCACATCTGTTTTCTTTTTATATAGGAGTTACAGAAGGGGTTACTACATGCCGTATTGACCATATTAAAAGATCGTACTACTGTTTTACAAATTAAGGTAAGTTCTTACAATATGATTTAATTGTAATTATCTACTTCTTATGATTGTTCAAACATGAAACGTCCAATACTAGAATAATTAAAAACATTTTATACTTAAAAATATTTATATGCGTTAAAGATAAATATTTGTAACAAATTATATGAAGTATATTCGTCACACAAATAGAATTTACAAAAATGATTTTGTTTGAACAATCAAATTACAAACAATGAAACAATACATTTGTAGGAAAGGCTGGTGAAGT